ATTCTCACTGTCGTAAATTTGCAGGTTGTCTTTACTCTGTGTATTTCTGGTCTTATTTAGATGCTGAACTGCAATATAAATTCTTGAAGGGAGAAATATTAGTCAAGCTAAGATTATTCAAACACAAATGAAACTAATCCTGTTTAGATTGGAGATACATTAAAAATGTTTAAAAATGTTTTTTTTTTACATTGAACAGATAACTAAAAAATAATCACCTTGTTCTGTTTTTTTGCTGTTTTTTTTTTGTAAAGTGATAATTGTGGTCACATGTTCTACAGAAATACAATTTTATTTCTTAAAGCAAAAACCTTAGAGGCTACAAGTGAGACTGCAGCAGGAGTAGTGCCAAACCAACTAACAGTTAGCCATTTTCCCATCTGATGGGGCTCTTCTCCTGCAGCCATCCACTCTCCTCCCCTGGTTACCATGGCAGCCCACCTCTCTGTGAGCGGGTCCTACATGAACCCCCCTGTCAGTTCAGAATCTGTCTTGCCTCGGCCCTTCCGCCTGGAGTCGCTGGGTGTCCCAGTGTTGAATGGTAAGGTGAAGCGCAAGAAAAGCAAATCTCACATCCATAGTGAGGGGCTCTGAAATGACTGTGAATTCCCATGCTCTTTAACACAGCTCACTGTGAACTGTTTTTCACTTCATGATTTTATACAGTGATTGACCACACATACAGTAAAGTAAAATATTGAATATTTGTCAGCTGGATCTTTCTGTGTGGAGTTTGCATGTTCTCCCCGTGCAGTGTGGGTTCTCTCCAGGTTCTCCAACTTCCTCCCACACAGTCCAAAAACATGTTGAGGTTAATTGGTGATTCTAAATTGTCTATAGGTGTGAATATGAGTGTGCCTGATTGTCTGTCTCTAAGTGTACCCCTGTGATAGACTGGTGACCTGTCCAGGGTGTCCTCTGCCTTTGCCCTGAGTTGGCCCTAGTAAGGATTAAGATGTGTATAGATAATGGGTGGATATTTGGTAGCTACAGCTAACCACAAAGGCACACAGGAGTTTTTGTGTACGTTGAGTGTCATGTGACTGTTGTTATAATTGTTAATTTTAAACTAAATGCTACCTATAGTATGATTGTATCCTTAAATTTTTGCACTGCAATAAATAAGTCTGAAACTGTAATATTTAACTTCTTGTATTTTGCTGTTGCTACTGTTCTTTACCAAGCATTTAAAATTCTACGCTTGCCACTGAAAGAATAAAATAAAAAAATAATTAATCAACTTCATGGTTAATTTCATTTACTTGGCAAAAATCTACTTAAACTTGACTTTAGAGTGTTAGAAACAATATTAATGAATAAGATCTCAGCCAATATGTTAGACCAGTTTGTGGTGTCACAACAAATATGTAATCTAAACGGATCAGGGGAGCTGCTGTCAAGGGAGCAGTGTTATCTCCTGTTACACATGACCTCTGGGTCAGCACTGTAGATTTAGATCTTACTTTACTGAAGCCTAGTAAAGATAAAAAAAACCCTTCATTTATGCTTGAGTCAAATGCAAATGTGTAAGTCATGAAACTTGATTTGGCCGCAATATCAAAAGATCACACTGATCTATTTTAAATATTATTTAAAATGTAGCATGTGCTACCAGTACTGTAATTGTTGCAGGAGATGCAAAAAATATTAAAAAAAAAAAAACAAAACAGTACAGTAACATATCAAACACTGTAGTTTCATTTGTTTCCCGACTGATAAACCCAATCCTTTCCGCAGCTCACTTTTCTGTGTGAGTGTCGTATTTCTCATTTTGGCTATGGCCTGATTTCTTCATCCATTGTTTAATATTACTTGACCGGCAGAGAGCCGTGTCAGTTTCAAAATTTGACACCATTTATTTGCCTGTGCCCAGACATACTAGACACAGACGCTGGTCCATTAGGCAAGCCCCTTGTATTGCTGAGGGATAGCGCGACAGACCGCAACCCTAATAGTCTCTTGCAATAATTAACCACAGACTAATCTAGTAGTTTCGATATTGTTATGTAACAAATGTCTAGCTATTCAAATGAGCCAGTGGGAGAAATTGTAAGTGTGACATGCAACAGATATCAAGAAAACAGAGCAAAGGAAAGCATTGGTCTGCTGAGATCACATGGAGGTGGGGCTCAGGATAATCGGATAATGGAAGAAGAGCTGAGCAGGCTTTCTCATCATCCGAGTGGCTTGTAAGATGAGTAGTATGACTGATAGTCATTCTATAACAGGAGTGCTGAATGTAGCACAGAAGTAAAGACTGTGCAGGTTTACAGAGATGAATGTGGTGATTCAAAAGGGTCTGTGAGTTGCCTGAAGTTAATCAAATCAGAAGTCAAACTGTCTAAATCGAAAATAAAGGCTTCAGAAAACAATGCCAACATGCATTCTATTACAAGTAGACTTTATTTTCAGTGGTAGAGTAGGTAGAAATAAAACAGGATCATTTTTCATTCTGGGGGAATGTCTCTGGAAGGCAACTACACAGACACATTATTAAGACCATTTAACTCTTGTACATAAATCAAAAACAGTAGTGGAAAAAAACAGATGACGCATAGGATTTGGATAATCATTTAATGGAAATTGCTTCTGCAGTTTATAAAACACTGAAAAATCACACCAATACACTTTTAAAATTTTGTTTTGCAATCTTTAAAAGCTGCATGAATTAGTCTGCTTCTTTGAGGCTTTGCTCGGAGAAATGTGCTCAACAATCCATTTACAGGCACATCTGTGAATCATGAAACAATCTGTAACATACCAATTCTGATGATTTGGGCACATCCTTATACACTGTCAGACTGATTTGGTGTCCAGCTGCGCCTTATCAGTTCATGTCTAGCTGAAATCCATCATAGCAAACACAAAAAGGGATTCGGGTTAGATGACAATAGCATACCATTGTTGATCACATATGCAGAGCTTCAGGGGTTTGAAATGTGTCAGGTGTATTTACAGTGACTCTTGAAATCTACTGCAAAAAAATGGTTTTGGATAAAAACAGTGTCATTCAGTGAGTGAGTATACATGATCTACATTTTAAGTGCTGGTGTTGCACTTTAAATTATTCCTCGTCTTCATCCTCTTCTTCTGCTTTGGTTTGCCAAAGTGCAAAGTGCCAAATTCCCACTTAATGCTCTAATTCTCTTTAAGCAGATGGTACTCTTAAACTGCTTCTGACTACTGCATTTACACAGCCAGACTTCTGTTGTTTGTTGGTTTCAGTCTTTGAGCAGTCCAAGCTTTCTGAGAGCCTCTTTTCGATCAGCTCCCATACCAGGTACCACCATCACAGTATATCCGACGGAGTTTGTGGGCTGAGCTGTAGTGGTGATTTTCACTGGTGTGGCTGATTGGATGAGTTGTGGTTCAGGGTAGTTTCTTTGGTTGTCTGGAGTGACACAGTGCTTCAGACCAGCTGTCTTTAATCCACTGGACTGAGCAGGATGCGATATCAACACTGGTTGCTCGTCACGCCTGGAACCGTGATGGAAACTGGCACTGCTCTGTAGAGGCCTGCTCTTGGGCTCTGTGGGCACTTTAGAGTAACAGAACGATGGGCTCCTTGATGGATTACAATTAGATGGAGCCCTTGCAAATCTGTTTGGTGTTGGGTCCAGAGAGGTGTGAGATTTGGGAGGAGGCAGCGGGGCTACGACCTCATTTTCTGGCTCTTGGTCTTTCAGGAGGCCCAGCTTCTGCAAAGCTTCAAGTCTCACCACCTGTGGATCTGTGGCATGCTTCCCACCATGTGAAGTGCCTGAGGTTTTGGATCCTTCATTTTTTGTTTTTACAGTAATGTTGGCTGGAATCTTGGGCTTGGGGGCCACAACTGGGAGGCTTATTTTAGAATTGGAAACTTCTGAGTGGGACCTGTCAGCTCTTGATGGATTTCCAAAGTTTGGGCCTTCCACTGGGGCAGGAAGGTGCATTTCCAAGTCTATAGTGTGATCAATTCTGGGACATAAAGGTGTCTTCTTTGCAGAGGCACTCCTCCGCAAATGAACTAGTGCATCATAGGATAGAGGTCCTCTCGGTAAAGGACCCTCAGCTGTCCTACCTAAGTAGTCCCTGGGTTTCGTGGAAGGAGGTATCACAACATTAACCTCTAAGGGTACTGGGGGAGCAATAGGTGTCTGGTTGTGTTTGTGATCAAGTTTGTTGTTCTGAAACGTGACCTGATTTTTAGAATACAGGGTTTTAGTTGTGGGTATTGAACTGCTTGCAAGAACAAAAGGTGTGGGAACCAGGTAGCTCTGCACGGGTTTGACGTCAACATTTTCTTTGATGAGTTCCTTAGAGTCGTGTATCTGTGAACCTGAAAGAAAACCAATATATATATTTGTCACTAGACATACAAAATATTTAATTTCAAAGTATTTTACTGACTACTGTATCACTGTCTTGGATCTGTCTCCAGAGATTGAATCACCGTTGAACTTGCTCTTGCTCATGGAAACTGACAGGTCAGCCAGTTTGTTAGCAAGGTTGCCATGGCTGGGCAGTTGTTCAGGTTCGTCATTGGACAGCCCACTATCCTCCTCAGTATCCAAAGACTCGATAGTCTCCTCCAAAAACATGAGACAGGCCCTCTCTTCAGCAGACAGATGCTCCAGACTATCATCACTCTGAAATTCAGAAAAGTAAAGTTTTCCTTTTCAAATGAACTCAACAATATGATATCCCGAAATTGACAAACTTACTAAATAACAGACATACAATAGAACCAAACAATTAAATATGACGTATCCCTTAGCTTTTATGTTCTGGCTGTTGTTTACTAATATTCTTTTTGTTCTTGATATTTCAAGTTGTTTTGCACAAGGAATTGCAGTAGAACTACACAGTTTCTTAGATTAAGAAAAGCTAAGCTCAGTTACTTACAAAGGCAGAATTGGCACTGACAACGCTGTCACAGCTGCCAGCACTGTCCATGCCATTCATCCTCTCCAATCCAGTCCCACCTGGCCAGGTATCGCTTTTAGGCATCTTAACGCCCTACTTATCCAAAGCTGGTGGCACAGACTGTTGTTTCACTCTGTGAAAAGGGGGGAAATGAATTTAAATTACAATTTACATTGTTGCTCTTTCCAAAGTGAAAATATTCTTTAGAAAAAGACAAAGCTTTAAAAGGAGAGTCTACTTAGTGGATAGAGGACCATATTAGACGTTTTTGTTGTTGTTGTTGTTGTTGTTTTTAAAATATTCTAGCCATGTGATTCATTCTTCAGGCCCTGCACAGCATTTATTTCACAAGTCCCTAAAGGCCTAAAATACTGGCTGAAAGACTGTCCTATTTAATGACCTTCCTTACAATGTTTTATAAGTTTTGTACTCTACCGCAGCTTTTGTGTTACCTAGTGCCATTTTTTTTTGGAGAAATGCCTTTTATTCCTGAGATTAGTTTTTAGGCAGTAGACAGCAGGTTCACCTTCTTAAAAAAACAGTAGGTGAATTACATGTATCCAATAAAAACACATTATTAAAGTAAATTTGATAAATGGACTGTGTGAATAATGCCTCAAAGCTAATGACAGTAATAACTACAACTGACCGCTAACTGTTAATACAGTCAAAAAGTAATAGCAATAGAAGCAATGTTTCAGTTCATATTGACAGCACACTAAAAGTTTTCATGGCCAAGCATGTACGCATTGATTTCCAACCGTAGTAGTCCACAGACAAACCACAGCATGTATTAACAACATCCCCTCACTGGATACTCTGTAGACAGATCAAACTAATGTTGTAATTCTGACTGACTAAGTCTACTTTAATGTCTGTACAACTAGAAGCTTTGGTTTGATATTGTTTTTCAACTGCAAAGAAACTGAGTGAAGAGATACTGATCAAAGAATACATGACTTGAAGGCAAGCAAGCTGCACATTTGATTCTAACAAATGCATGCAGACATGGAGAAGAAGGAAAATTAGCTTCTGTGTCTGAAAGGCAATCAGCAACACAGGGGTCTGGACACTGATAGATCAGGCTTTTTGTGTTCACTCTTAGTAAATGAGCATACAACAATTTCCCTGAGGTTTGCACCGAAGGGATCAATAAAGTTCTATTCTATTCTATTCTATTCTATTCTATTCTATTCTATTCTATTCTATTCTATTCTATTCTATTCTATTAACACTGTCAAACATGATAATGTATGTAAAAATAACCCTGAGTTACATCTAGCAAGCAACTTGTGCAATAGTTTTAGGGCCTCTGAAGAATCATCTTTCGAAACCTCCTCTAGATATGAAACATTGCATTAAAAAATATTGTCTATATGTTTAAATATTTTTGCTTACAGGGACTGTTTTAAAAACTTTGTCACTGGTGCAAGTTTTGTTGGCAAACTCATCCACCTAAGACTTCAGAATCAGTGTTCTTGTAGGTCTCATTTTCTGATAATATAACTTGTTAATGCTTTTACCTTCTGAAAACAAACTCATTGGTTGTCATATATTTTTATGGTTATAATCTGTTCATATGTATACATTCATTCATATTTAGAGAGGAACAAAATGCTTATGTATTTTCAGGTCAAAGCTGATTACTGCTTTTAGTAATTTGAAGTGTGTTTGTTCCATAACTACGGTCAAAACTAACAAACTTTGACCTTCTAAAGGAATGGGGTTTCAGTCTGTCAACATACAAAATATAGTATTTGAGTATCTGATACGGTCAAGAAGAGTTCCATTGGTTATATTTGTACTACTACTCAACTACTCAAAATGAACCGACCGAAAAACTGTTTGTGTTCACTTTTGTCCTACCAATAAGTTGTCAATTTTTTCCTTCTCTATGGAAGAGATGCCGGGCAAATTTTGCCTTTCCCCATATTGCAATAGGTTTCATTTACCAACAGCCAGGAAAGTGTGTCTTGTATTTTTTAAGGTTGTAAGAGTCATTTCATACAACAGCCCTGGGGCAGTAAAGCTTGCAACTAGTTTTCAAAAGAATCAATGCATGCTCACTACTGCATTATGATGTAACGGAAAAATAATATAAACCTGCTAAATCTTAACTGTACTGGACAATTATCTTTAAAAGGTAATTAACACACACTTTAATTGACTTTAAAAAATTAATTAACATACCCGCTGCTGCTTAAAAATCCATCCAAAAAAGAATGTATACTTCACTACCGGTTTGCAGTAATGTAATACAATATGTAGTTAAACCAGTAGTTAATCTGCAAAAATCTCTCGAGAAGCTGCATGTATTTGGTAACACTGCGTCTATTTTTTAGAATTCTACACAAAGCTGTCTACATGTCAGCCTATTGACACCCTATGTAGCCCTTCTGTGGTGTGTCTTACATGTACACCAGCTTTGTGATGATTGGACAGCCTCACTGGCAAAGAATGGGAGGTTATCATAGCTTAGCGTGCCTCTAACAGATATCTAACTAGTCTTCTTACTGCATGTGACTTGGATTACAGCACACATGCCACTCCTAATCTTTCTTTACCGGATCAGTTTCAGAGGGAGTGGAAGGCAGCAGCAATGATCTCCTGAAAGCTATATGATATCCAGTTTGGCCATATTGTCTTACTGTAACAGTCGTGTATTAGGGCATTTAGGGTGTTTGTGAAAGGTGTATATTACTTCACAGATAATGAGACCATTAGTTTTAGCAGGTAAATACAAGGAGAGGACAGCTTCACCCTTACTGTAAATAGCCACGAGAAATTGAAGCAATGATTGTTTTGCACATATTCAAGTATGTATTTTTTACTAGAATGAACTACTGTAAGAAAATAGAAGCTTTAACTTACACTAGTATTGTAGAAATGAAGCTGGGATTGTGGTATAAAGGAGCCCTTGTCTGATCCTGGTGAAACAAAATTCACCTTTGGATAAGTTTCAACACCTGAGAGGCATGGGCTGCTAGATAGGCCAAAGTAGATACAAAAGCACTCCTGTTCACCGTTCCTGCTTTGCCCAGTCATTCCATCCCTGTAAAATTTTAAAGCCCCTATTGCCTGGTCAACATGTAATTGTCGCCATCTGCCCTACTGCATGCAGGTCAGGATATGAATTTGACCAGTAGAAACTCAGTGATAACGTTTATTGTGACACTCGCTGACACAATCTGGGCTGATTGCATGCAAATAACAAGCAGCTCTTGTGGCCTGGAGGCAACTGAAAGCACTGTGCAGACTACTGATTTCAGACTTGTGTTTCCTGATTTTTTTTTAGGTATCATACTATAGTTGCTATGCTGCCAGTTGTTTCTTGAGCTCCTAACTTAGAAAATGACTATAGCCGATGATTAACCTCTGCTCACCGTTTCCAGAAAAGAACATTTGTAGCACTATTGAAAATTTATCAGAATGTTATCTCCTTGTAGACACACCTTGAAACACACTTGCAACAGCTATGAAACTCCAGGATCTGCTGTGCTGTAACAAAACTCTATGATGCAGAGGTTGGAGCAATAAATTTAACTGCCATTTCAACCTCCATGGATCATTCGGTCCAGTGACACAGTTGCTGTTTTGTTTTGACGGCTGCTGTAAAAGAGCAATTGGCCTAGCTTTTATGACCTTTTATGCTTTGTTTGAAGAGGATTATGTAATATGTGAAACCGTCACTGTTACATTCTCACCCGTTTATTTTGAACCCAGTTACTTAACATCCACCCTCTGTCTTTAGATTCTGAAGTCATTTTGAGCGCTATGTCTTTTGTAATGAGGACTATCGTCCCCAAATACATCCATCAAATCAAATCGTGTAAACATCTACAAAATAATTCAATCAAGTAAAGTCGAAGTAACTCAAAATTGTACGCAAGTGCAGTACTTAAGTAAATGTACTTAGGTACTTTCCACCACTGGTTACTTAAAGTGATCTATAACAACTCATTCTTTCAAACGGCAATACAACATGACTACTGTGATTACTCTCGACTGGGACCAGGAGCTACACTTACACGATAATACCACTATACATGTTGTTTTGAACAATGCATATTATTCAACGCTCATGTTTATCACATAGACTGTATATACACACACGTATGTATTTATGGATTGTTGATAAAGAAGATTATTTGCCCCAGATACATCCATCACGCACGTTAAAGTCTACAAAATACTTAAGCTTTAGTCAGAAAACAGTCAGCAAAAAACAGGCTGACTGAACAAGGTAACTACGACATTTAAGATCAACAAGTCTATCAATAACTATACTAAACGAGAAGTCGTCGAGTGGCAACAAAAATAGTTAGAATCACCACACTTGATATTTCCTTGAGGTGAACAGTAGACTACGTAATTATGAATAAAGTCTAACTAATTTTCAGAGGGTTTAAAACATCTTTAAGTAGATTTACCTGATGAGAAAGTTGAAGTCTTCCGCAGAAACTAGCATTAGCGGACGGTCTGGATCTCCGTACGCCAGTCTCTTCCCATCCTCTGCTGCGCGTGCAACTGAGGACGCCGTGGGCGCGCGTCTCTGTGTGACACCTGCGCGATCGACTTTGTCCGATAAGCTGTCAGCCAATCAGAGAGCAGCATTCTCCTTAAGACACCTCGTCGTCACGAGTGTAATGTGTCTCCTCCTCTCCCGTTACCTGTAGTGTGCTGCAAGTACTTCAGTAAAAGTACCAACACCTCAGAGTAGAAGTACTCTGCTACAAGTAGAACTCATGTATTTATATTCGGGCTAACTCACAGACCGTATAACCAGGGAACGAAATCCCTTAAGAACAATGTGTGTAAATATATATGTGTTTGAATATCAATGTAATATATAAATATTAGAAGAACGCTTAAGTGAACAGTATTTTGGGTATTTTTATCCCAGGAGTCACTTTGAGCCAAACAAACTTGTCAGTTAAGGGGTTAAAGGATTTAAATCCCCCAAACTATTGAATATTTGGTTTCCTATTGTTAGAATAGTAATAACAGTAATGATGGTTAAAATAAATTAGTTATCAAAAGTGAAAAATAATATTAATATATAACATTTTGATGGCAGTTTTTTG